GGCGGCCGCCGGCGAAGTCCGAGGTGTCGCTCCTCCGATTCGAACTCTTAAAATTTAGGGTTTAGGGTTCAGGGTTTCGGGTTTAGGGTTTCGGGTTCAGGGTATAGGGTTTAGGGTTTAGGGATCTACCGGACACAAACCGCCCCGAACTCCAAGGCCCCAAAGACCTGAACCCGAAGGCCCCAAATCCTAAACCTGCCGTGCTCTGAAAGAACCCCCAAAGGGTTTAGGATTTAGGGTTTAGGGTTTAGGGTTTAGGGACCCTAAAACCTAAACCCTAAACCCTAAACCCAAACAAAGCATTATAGCCCTAAACCCTAGAACCTAAACCCTAAACCCAAAGAAAGCCTTATAGCCCTAAACCCCAAAACCGAAACCCTAAACCCAAAGAAAGCCTTATAGCCCTAAAGCCCCGAACCCGAATAAGACACACACACACACACACACAGAGAACCCTGCTTCAACCCAAATCTCAGCCCGAACTGTCCCCCAGTCTGCGATTCAGGCGTTTAGGATTTGGGGCTTTGTATTTTGGGGTTCGGGCTTCGGGTTTAAGGGGTTGAATTTTGAGGTTTCCGATGGCAGCGCAGCCCTAGCGGCCGCAAACTCCCAAAAAAGCGGAAGCCGATTCTCCGGCGCTTCAAGCCCCCCTTCTCCCGAGGATCGGTCCTTGTTGCGGCTGCCTCGCTTAGGGTTTAGGGTTTAAGGTTTAGTGTTCGGCTTCCCAAAACCCCACCACATACACCCTAAACCCTAAAATTAGGTCCTAAAACCTCACACAGGCTTAGGCTTGAGGTTCTAGAGACACGGAAGTTGCGGTCAATGAGTTTGGGTTTCAGGGCTCTGCGACGGATGCTTCCGCACGCTACCGTACGTCGTCTCACCGAAGATCGGCGCACAGAGGGAAGCAAAGGCAGCTTAGGGTTTAGGGTTTAGGGTTTAGGGTTTAGGGTTTAGGGTTTAGGGTTTAGGGTTTAGGGTTGGGGTTTAGGGGCCTCCAAACCTAACGGTCCTAACCCCAACAGAGGGGAAGTTCTCTGCTTCCGATGCAGGTTTTTGGGTTCACGGCCTAGCTGAGATCTCTGATCGCGGAAGCTTTGGTCACTGAGACTTCATTTGGATCAATGACGTCCGAAGAAACACTTTGTCCCACCTCTTGATTCGGGATCTAGGGTAGAGTGTGCTAGACATTGAGGGGGTCGCAGCATGTCCTAGACCCTATCTGTGGATAAAGGGTCATCCCCCATCATTATAGGGTCATAACCTGTTGGGTCGAGTTTTTAAGGGCTTGCACGCTTTTCCCCTATAAACCCTGAACCCTAAACCCTAAACCCTACACCCTGAACCCTAAACCCTAAACCCTAAATCCTAAACCCTAAATCCTAAACCCTAAAGCCTAAGCCCTAAACCCTAAACCCTAAACCCTACAAACCCCAAACCCTGAAGGTCACGAGGTCCCTCCAAACTCCGCAGGCCTCCCCAGGAAGGACCGCCCTTTCCACCCTGCATATCGGCTCCGGGTTTACGGTCTTGGGGTTTCTTGGTTTGGGGTTCTGGGTCTAGGGGCAAGGGTTTAAGATTTAGGGTTTACGGTCTTGGGGTTTCTGGTTTGGGGTTTTGGGTTTAGGGCTTTAGGGTTTAGGGCTGTAGGGTTTAGGGCTTTAGGTTTAGGGTTTAGGGTTTAGGGTTTAGGGTTTAGGGTTTAGGGCTTCAGGGCTTAGGGCTTTAGGGTTTTCGGGTTTGGGGGCTTCGGGTTTACGGGTTAGGGCTCAGGGTTTAGGATTCGGGGCTTGTCCGGGATGCAAGCGGCAGCACTTGAAAGACTTAGGATCGACACTTGCGTACCAGGGCAAGAAGGCCCACAAGTACAAACCATCTTCGTCGGCACCTCTGTGCGAAAACAGTTCGCGGCATCTCCAACTCCGTTTCGCTTCCACCAAACCGAACGCACCTTCCATGCATGAGCCTCCGAAGTTGGAATCCCCGAAGCCATGACCAAAGCTCCAGATCCTCAAACACCGGCGCCCACGGCGCAGGACGGCTCGACTGGAACAACCAGAGGTCCTCTGCATTTTACCTTGGACCTTCAAAGAAATCTTAGGACCCCAGAAAACCACACTCCCAAAGCCGCTTCGAAGCGAAGGCAGCGAAGACCCGCGCTCTTCAGGAATACCCCCAACTGGCGACCACGAATCATAAAAAACTATCATGAATCATGATCGTGATGATGACAGTAGATGGCAGGTTTGGTATTCAGATGACCGTGATGATCAGCACCATCAGTATCGTCGTCCTAGCCCGAACTAAACCACATTCCCCGTTCGGGGTCGCAACGGGTTTTGCGGAGAGATTTCGGGCTGCCATGGAACGGAAGCCTAGAAAATGATAATATAACATGATACAGTCTAACCTAATATTTTTCATAAAATATCGCAGGTATATTGCATTATATCTTGCTATATTATATTATAGTGTACTAGTGCTACATCTGGACCGGACCCTGCTGGCTGTGAAACATGCTTCGAGCAGCAAGGTTTGCGCTGACGTCGTCGGTAAAGCTTCTGGGCGCCATTCGGCACAGGTTTTCGCTGATCTTTCCCGGTACATTCTTCTGAACTTGTCTGGGGCCACTGCATCACTGCCTGATGGCCGGAGGTTCGGACGAAAGTGAGGTTTCTTCTTTACCTGAGGAAGACGTAATGCAATAGGATCCTGGAGTTGAAAGATGAGGCCCAAGTCGATGGAGAACGGCGCGATGATCAAACCGAGAAGAAGCCCAAAGCCCCCCTAGTTGTATAGGGTGTAGGGTTTAGGGTTTAGGGTTTAGGGTTTAGGGTTATGTAGGGTTTAGAAGTAAGTCCATTTGCCCCCGGATCCTATGCCACAAATCCTCGAACCTGGTGATGCAGGGGTTCAGAAGTGCCTCGCTTTGGGGCTTCAGGATGGTAAGCCTTTGAGGCTTAGGCTCTTAGGGCCCTAAGGCGGCTTGGGATTTAGGACTTCGAGACTCGCATATTTAGGCTTGAGCACTTAAGGGTTTGGGCTTTCGGGCCCTGGGGGCTGCCGGAGCCTTCTCTTCGGCAAAACGAACCTCCATGTTGACAGTACTGCCTGGCGGTGCTCCGGCTTAGGGTTTACGGTTTAAGGTTTAGGGTTTAGGGTTAGGGTTTAGGGTTTAGGGTTTGGGGTTTAGGGGTTAGGGGTTTACGGTTTAGGGTTTAGGGTGAAGGCGACCCGCAGAGGCAGGGCAACTAGGGGCAACATCTTGCTGATGATTCTCTGGGCCAGGAATGACGAGGGGAAATCAGATGTACGTATGGGTGTGGCTTGAAACCATCAGCCTCTCATCCTCAAGAAGAGAAGAGGCGGACCGAGTGCCCAACGCTCGCAAAACCCCGGAAGCCCGATGAAGGACGACCGGAAGCAATTCAAGTGTGGAGGGTCATCACCCTCAACCCAGTCCCTAAAAACCTTACGCCTTATAAATCCCAAACCTAAGACCATGTTGAGGGCCATCAGCAAGAGACGGTCCAAGCCTCGACAGAGATTCAGGGCGTACTGCGCCGCCTCTTGAGAGACGTACCTGCGAACTTAAGGGCAGAAAAGGGATGCACCAGGGGGCATAGGCATAGGGTTTTCGGTTTGGGGTTTGGCGTTCGGGGTTTGGGGTTTAGGGTCTTTTTGGTTCAGGGCTCAGAACCAAGGAAGACAGACAGACATCCGGCCTAGACGTAACCCGCAAGCCTGAAACCCGAAGACCCCCACATCCTGAGCCTTCCATTAGCCCCGAGCCGAACCGTGTACCCTGAGCCTGACGTCAAGATCGTAACACTAAACCCTAGACCCTAAACCTAAATCCTAAACTCTCAACCCTGAACCCTAAACCCCCAATCCTAAATCCTAAACCCTAAACCCTAAATCCTAAGCCTTAAGCTTTTCCCCCAGTCTCGGCGCACTTGACAATGGCAGCACGGCTTGATAGGCCTCGAGACGTGGGCAGCGCCCTTCTTATCTTCCGGGCTTCGGGAGGTCTGGAGGGGTGGTTTGGGCTCGCGGTTTAGGGTGTTTTGCAAAGGTCCCTCTTGCCACCGTCATATCTCCACTCAGACTCAGATGAGGGTTTATCGGGTTTGGGGCTTCAGTGCTTTCGATTCATGGATCCTCTAAGCACGGTCACGCGGCGATAAACCCTAATCCCTAAACCCCTAAACCCTAAACCTAAACCCTAAACCCCTAAACACCTAAACCCTAAAACCCCTAAACCCTTAACCCCTAAACCCTAAAACCCTAAACCCTTAACCCTACGGAACCTGCCGCCACGCTCAGCGGCTTTGGTGCTTAGGGTCTGTAGCCGGAAAGTCGGAAAGACCTACCTTCTTAAGGGAACTATATATATAGAAACCATAAGAAGGGAACACTAGAAAGGTAGGTCTTTTCGGCTACAGGTAGGGTCTAGGACTTAGGGAACGTAGGGATCAAAGGTTCAGGGTTTAAGGTTTAGGGTTTAGTTTTGGGTTTAAGGTTTAGGGGAATTCGCCCCTTTTGTTGTTCGGCTCTGAGTGCTGCGAACGTGTGGAGGGGCAACGCCTATGTCCAAAAGCCCGCTGAGCCTGAATCTTGAGGAGAACTATACCCGAAAATGACGAATGGGTAGTTCTCCAAATTAGGAACCCTTTTTAAAGTCCTTTTTTCAAACGTGCCGTACTATTTTGGGAGCCGAATTCAATTAACGATCCAAAATAGCATAGAGATCTGAACAATGCGCAATCATCTCCTCTTACAGTGACTTTCTAGTTACACCATTATGCTTATTCAAGCCCTTTGTTCTCATCCTAAGCCCTAAACACCAAAACCGAAACCCTAAACCCAAAGCCATAAAACCCTAAACCCTAAACCCCTAAACCCTAAACACCTAAACTCTAAACCCACAGCCCTAAACTCTAAACCCCAGCATGTAGGGATTCCAGTTCAGGACTTCGCTGCGACGGTGCCTTGCCGCTGATGAAGGAGCTTGCAGCCCCGAATGTGCGAGGCCTCTGCAAGGAGAAAGCTTTAGGGTTTAGGGATTAAGGTGTAAGGTTTGGGGATTAGAGTTTAAGGTTTAGGGATTAAGGTGTAGGGCTTGGGGATTAGAGTTTAGGGTTTAGGGATTAAGGTGTCGGGTTTGGGGATTAGATCTAGAGTTTAGGCTTTCAGGATTAAGGTGTAGGGTTTGGGGGGGTAGAGTTTGGGGGTTTAGGGATTAGGGTTTACAGCTCCCAGAGAGCCCGATACCCACAAATTAACGAAGGAAGACTCATCAAATTACAGCGGCCGCAGTATTGAGGTAGACTCCTTAAGTAAGGACTATTGGGCTGTCTGCGTCCCTAAGCGTCTCGGAATCTACGACGAAGGTTCTTGGTTCAAGGTTCAGGATGGTCTTAGCATAGAGGTTCCTCTGGTTCAAGGCTTCGGCTTTCTGCGGGGAGGACTTGGATGTGCCTCCTGGCTTCGTGTTTCAGACAGGAGGTTGCGGCTCTAGGGCCTTTTCGAGTCCTGGGTCTACGGTTGATAAGCATAGGGATGCGGCTTCACGCTTCACAGTTGTGGAGTGGCTCTTCAGACGGATACTGTGACCGTGGGTTCAGGGTTGCACGTCCGAAAGCATGTGAAAATGACACCCCCTCGACCTATATAGGAAAGGCCGTTCGGGACACTTAATTATGGCTTCTGGATCTAGAGAGCCTTTCACGGTTGATATGAAGGGTTCTATGCGGGGCTGATGGGACTGTGTTGGACGTACTGGGCTTGCAAAGGGTTTGAAAGGCTGCACTTTTTGCTGTTGTTCATGGGTCTGTAGGTCAGCGAAGAACATCGGCAATAGTACCGATGACACCTACCTACCTACCTACATACATACTTACATACATACGTACATACATACATATGCATGTATGGATGGATGGATGGATGGATGGATGGACAGCAAGTTATGTATGTGTGCGTGTGTATGTATGTGTCATATTGATTGTTTTTACCTTTAGTCACCATTAGTTTTTGCTCATGTTTACAGTGATACGAACGGGCGACAGCAAAACCTCCCGGACGGCAGACAGCTGGCAAGTAATCGTCGCAAACATACCACAGTAGTAACAACAATCCTGGTCGCAGCAGCAGCCAACTTCACCTATCCTTGCCACTCACAAGAACCCTGTTGTCCAAAGCTTCGCCACTCAAGACCACGCTGAACCCCTAAACCCTAAACCCCTGAACCCCTAGACCCTTAACCCCTAAACCCCTAAACCAAACCCCTATACCCTACACCCTCAACCGTTCGAGTCCCACACGTCCCCGCCGATGTCCTGATGAAATGCCTGGAGCTCGGGAGGACGGTTGTGTCCAGGGAGCCCGAGGGGGGCCTTTAATGAAGGACCATACGGTTTTTTATAGGCTGGCGTACGGTTCTTACAGAGTTTTGTCGGGTCCTTAGTTAAGGAACCGCCTTAAATTCCGAGGGGGCTCATACAACGATTTAAGCTTTACTTTGCAATTAGGGGGTGTTGGGCTCTTTGGGTTCTTCGAAGCTTTTGGCTTCCTGTCTGGGGGTTCGCGTCTAGGGTAAGGTTTAAGGTACGGTGCTTAGGGTTCTAGGGTTTGCCTTCGGGGCTTAGGGATTGAGGTGTAGCGTTTAGGGCTAGGGTCCGGGGCTTAGGTTGTGGAATGTCGCTGACCTTCAGTAGGGTCTGAGAAGACCGTTTGGCACATGAGAACCCGGAGCCAAGCTTCTACGGCTCAGAACGGTTCCGCTTATATGCGGCGTATATTCCACCATCTTTATCGTTTAGAGGGTCGCCCTTGTTCAGATCTGGGCCTTTTGAAAGGGTTCTTCTACAGTATCCCTCACCATCAGGAATTTCTGATCGTTTCTAAGGGTTGCCCAAACCACTCCACACTTCTCCGGCCGAGGACGTGATACTGAAACCCTAAACCCTAAACCCTAAACCCTAAACCCTAAACCCTAAATCGCGACCGCTCTTGGGTTTAAGCCCTGAGCTTCGGGCTCGACCTTGCGACCGAACATGTCTGACATGTCTTTCGACCTAATGGCCCGTGGGCGTAGCCTTCCTAGCGTGTATGGACTCTGACTTCTGGGGCATGGCAGGACGCCTCTTCTAGATGTAAGGCCTGAACCCTTGCATGGGTAGTTTTCTAAATTATGGTACCTTGTAGGGTCCGCTTAATAAGAGTGCCGTACCATATAGGGGTACCTAAAAAGGGACCGTAATTTAGAGAACTACCCACATGGCTCAATCTGCGCGAAAAGACAGTGCAACCTTGACCCCCAGCACTTAACGCGAAAACCTAAACCCCAAGCCCTAACCCTAAGCCCTTAGCCCTTAACGCTAAGCCGTCAGGCCCCGTTAACCCAATTCCAAACGATGATGATCACTACTACTACTACTACTACTACTACTACTACTACTACTACTACTACTACTACTACTAGTACTAGTACTACTACGACTAATAATAATGCTGATACTAGTCATACTAGTTCCTACTCGTAACCGTATCGTTACTACCGCTTTTCTTGTTAGAAACGTCCCGGCCTTGATTTCGGCCTCGTTCCAGTTGGCCGGCCTCGTTGGGGCTCCATATGAGTAGTTCTCTAAAGTAGGGTTTCGGGTTTAGGGTCCCTTTTTAGGGTCTTTAAGGGGATCTATACGGGATGCTAGAAGGGTTGACCTATGGTTTCTATGGGTAGGTCTCTAACTTAGGGTCCCTTCTTAGATCCCAAATATAGCACGGCACCCTTATGAAAAGGACCCGAAAAATGGACCCTAACTTAGAGAACTACCCATATCTTACGGGTGCGTTTAGCGCCTAGGGTTCAGGCCTTTTTCGGGCTTAGGGTTCAGGGTTCAGGGTTTGGGCTTCAGGGTTGAAAGGTGTAGGATTCAGGGTTGGGGCTGCAAACTCTTGTTGCTACCCTGACGCTTCAAAACTGTGACCCATGCGAACCTCGATGCTCCGAACCTCAACCATCAACCTTCGAAAAGAGTCCAACAAAAAAAACTCAGAAGCCAACTGCAAACTTCGAACCCTGAGTTCGTTTTAGAGTCGCTGGGCTGCTCCTTGGGAGACTTTTGTGAGACCAGATGAGAGCTTCAGACAACATAAGCAAAAGGCAAGTGCCCCTCAAGAAAGACCTGGAAAGACATTTGGGTAGTTTGCAAATTCAGGGTTTAGGGTTTAGGGTCCTTTTTATACGGGTGCCGTACTATATTGGGGACCCTGATTGAGAGAACTGCCCATTTTAAATGTTAAGACACACCGGATCTGGGAAGGCTGGGGCATCCCGGCACACTAGCAAAGTACAGGTCAGTTCGCGGTCCTCTCAGCCAGACGGATGCAGGGCGAAGAAAGAGCGTCGGGTTGAAGTTTGTGGTTTTGTGATTAGGGTTTGGAGTTTGGGGTGTACGGGTGTAAGCTTAGCGCATCTCAAAACAGCAAGTTTTTCAGATTCCACCCCGAGCAGCAGATCCAGTGCTTAAGGGCAACTTCGACAGTCGGGCACCGGCTCAGCAGATTATGGGATTGCCAGTGTCAGAGATGCTTTAAGGTGTTCAACCTCGGGGTAAAAAAATAGCTTCCTTTCCGAAATCCCAAGAAATGGGTCAGCTGACAGGACACTCAGAAGGGTCTCGAGTTCCCGGTTTAGCCGTGAGGGTCTATAGGGATAGAGCCGCAGACGCTGCTGGGAACTGCTGCCAAGTTGAACCTACCAGCAAGCCACAGAAAGACTCAGGTCCTTCCGCGCATCCACCAGCAAGACCTGGGGCAGACACCAACCCGGTTGGCGAGCTGAGGTCGTCATTACTAAAACCCCAAAGCCCTCTAACCTCCTAAACCCTAAACCCTCCGAGAGTGTTGATAGGTTTGCGTTTCCTTCGGCGTCTGGGGTTTAAGATTCAGACGGCGTGCAAGACCATGATCCTATTACAAACCCCACCCTAGACGACACAGATTTGAGTTTAAGTGCCCAAAACCCATCCCCCAAAAACCCTAAAAACCTGCCAAGCCCCCAACCCCCCCATGACCCCAAAAACCCCAAAACCTGCCAAACCCCCAACCCCCAAGACCCCCCAAAACCCCAAAACCTGCCAAAACCCCCAAAACCTCCGGAAACCCTAAACCCTAAACCCTAAACCCTAAACCCCCGTAGTGGCGCCTTTCTCGTGCCCGTTCACCTCAGAGTGAGCCATGGTGAGGGCTCAGGGGCCTTCATTTGGGTTGGGGTTTTAGGGTTTTGGGGTTTAGGGTTTAGGGTTTAGGGTTTAGGGTTTAGGGTTCAGCGTTTAAGGCTTAGGGCTTGCACTGTTTTGGTTTGTTTTCAAAACAGCCGGTTTCAGGGGTCCGGCTTCTTGGCTTGGGTTCCGGGTGGGCTCCCGGGTAGAGAGGCAGAAGTGGAGCTAACGCTCGGGAAGCACCGAAGTCCACGTGATGCCCGTGAGGAAGCGGGTCGCTGGAGCCCGAATTATCAGAATAACGGGTTTGGGAGGGGGGGGTACATTCTAGCATCATGATGACCAGGAACGAACCCCCAGGAATTTCCCGCTTGGGTTGTGTGCCTCTGGGTGCAGCACCGAAAGTTGAGGGATTGAACTGATACACGTCGTTCAGGAGAAGTTGCATGTGCAAAAACCGAATCGTCACCGCTGTAGGTTCAAAAGACCAGATTGCAAAAATGATCCAAATTCAACTCCAAACCTTCAACACCGACCCAAACCCGCCCCTACCCTCGACTCGTCAATCCGCAATGGTCTCCCCACTTTAAGCCTTTCGCTTGCTAGGCAGCTCGCATCTCAACCGAAGAACCTTGAACCCTCCGGTTCCACCTATAAAACAGTAGTCATGCTGATAAAAACAATAACAGAAGAACGAAAACCATCAACAACAAGGCAAAAGCACAAAAACTGAAAGCAAAGCAGGTTCGGTGTGTATATATGTACACACATACTATACATACATCATGCAATCTCAGTAAACTCATCGCAACAGTGTTACTTTCGTGTGCTGGGCCCCCGGGCAGCTCTACCGAAGAACTGCTGAGCACTCCAGGCCATCCCAAACCCGCCAGAAACTCGGGCCAGCGGCTGCGAAGAACAGATGCGCTGCCTTTTCTTTGTGCCGTTTAAGGGTTTAGGGTTTAGGATTTAGGGTTTGGGGTTTTCTATGAAGTTTGGAAAAGAGTTATAATATGGGGATTTTGAAGTTACTTTCGAATCTGCCGCTCGCAGCGTTGGGAGATAAAGGTTCTACTGATTATCAGGATGCTTTTTGGATGCTTAGTTCCTTTATTTACCGCAGGAGAGTGTGTGTTGTTAGTTTAGTGGTTTTCAGGATTTGGGGATTGGGATAGGCATCTGAAAATATCACACACTGCCTGCTCTGCACTGTAGCAAAACAGCCTGTCCCACTCTGAGATCTCAATTGTGGCCGTGCAGCTTCATTTGTGCAGTGTGTTCGCCCTGAACAAATATCCAGATTCGGAAGAATCTCACAAAGCTTAGAATGCTTGACACTAGCATCGTCCATCTCCCATCCTGCAGCCGCACAGTTTGGAGCAAGAGTGCGAGCCCGTGAGGTGCTTTCTGGATGTCCTCCATATCCTCTTTGGGGGGGTCGGCATCATCCTTATCAAGACGTCCTGTAGCAAGCATCTCTGTAGGACATGACCAGGTTAAAGTCTGAACGAGGAAGGCGGGATGACTCCGTGTCAGAATGCGAAGCTCTACAACTCTACACTCCGCTTGACATCTGAGCCTTCGTCCTGAAGGCTGCTGACATCAGACGCTCTTATCCACCGTGAAACAAAGCTCACAAGGCACACCCAACCCGCGCTTGGCGTTCAGACTCACTCGACCTGCTTGGGCGCTCCCTGGCTTCTGCGTGGCTCGAACTCTGGGACTCCGGGCTCCGGAAGGGCAAGACCAAGACTGGCTTGGGCCCGGACCGCCAGGTCGAAGGGCCCACGTGTCATCCAGACGGTCTTGGTCCGTGCACGGGTCCGGAGACCAGGACGCCCAACAGCAACCGGCAAGCAGGCAGCAGCAAAGAAGGCAGACTTCCAGCTGTCGAGGCCCGGGGCCCGGGCCGTGGCCATCGTAACCTGGGCCGCGAGCTGAAGGAGAAAGGAAGGCCGGGAGCGAAGGCGGTCGCGGAGGCACACCGAGCGCCGGACCCCCAAAGATCACCATGGCCTTGCCCTGCGGATCGTAGACAGCTGTGTGGTAGCTTCTCTTTGGCGGCTTCGTCGATGCCACGACGAGCTCGTGCCACGTCTTCGCCTGCAGCTGCGCGTCTGTGAAAGGAGAGAGGAAAGGCGCAGCCCTCGCTACAATTGAAAGCAGTGAGGCCAGACGTTTCAATAGATTAACCCGCACGATCTGCCGAATATTAACAACGGCCATGCCGGCATGCGCATATCATCGACATAGAAAAACGGTGCAGACTACCCTGGGCAAGGCGCTTTAAAAATCAACAACCGCTGCTTGTTGTGGCGAGTTTGCGCCAGAATTGGCTTGGGCGCGGACCGCCAGGTCGAAGGCCCACGTGTCATCCAGACGGTCTTGGTCCGTGCACGGGTCCGGAGACCAGGACGCCCAACAGCAACCGGCAAGCAGGCAGCAGCAAAGAAGGCAGACTTCCAGCTGTCGAGGCCCGGGGCCCGGGCCGTGGCCATCGTAACCTGGGCCGCGAGCTGAAGGAGAAAGGAAGGCCGGGAGCGAAGGCGGTCGCGGAGGCACACCGAGCGCCGGACCCCCAAAGATCACCATGGCCTTGCCCTGCGGATCGTAAACCGCAGTCGGGTAGTTTCTCGCTGGCGGCTTCGTCGATCCCACATCGACCTCGTGCCACGTCTTCGCCTGCGGCTACGCGTCTGTGAAAGGAGAGAGGAAAGGCGCAGCCCTCGCTACAATTGAAAGCAGTGAGTCCAGACATTTCAATAGATTAACCCCCAGGATCTGCCGAATATAAACAACGGCCGTGCCGGCATGCGCATATCATCGACATGGAAAAACCGGTGCAGACTACCCTGGGCAAGGCGCTTTAAAAATCAACAACCGCTGCTTGTGGTGGCGAGTTTGCGCCAGAATTTGCTTGGGCCCGGACCGCCAGGTCGAAGGCCCACGTGTCATCGAAACGGTCTTGGTCCGTGCACGGGTCCGGAGACCAGGACGCCCAACAGCAACCGGCGAGCAGGCAGCAGCAAAGAAGGCAGACTTCCAGCAGTCGAGGCCCGGGGCCCGGGCCGTGGCCATCCCAACCTGGGCCGCGAGCTGAAGGAGAAAGGAAGGCCAGGAGCGAAGGCGGTCGCGGAGGCACACCGAGCGCCGGACCCCCAAAGACCACCATGGCCTTGCCCTGCGGATCATAAACCGCAGTCGGGTAGGATCTCTTTGGCGGCTTCGTCGATGCCACGACGAGCTCGTGCCACGTCTTCGCCTGCGGCTACGCGTCTGTGAAAGGAGAGAGAAAAGCCGCAGCCCTCGCTACAATTGAAAGCGGTGAGGCCAGACGTTTCAATAGATTAACCCGCACGATCTGCCGAATATTAACAACGGCCATGCCGGCATGCACATATCATCGACATGGAAAAACCGGTGCAGACTACCCTGGGCAAGGCGCTTTAAAAATCAACAACCGCTGCTTGTTGTGGCGAGTTTGCGCCAGAATTGGCT